AGAGGCCCAGAGAGAGATGAGGGGCCATACTTTCAACTGCTCAATGCCCACAATGAAGAGCAGATTTTCAAGGCAGCTCAGCACCTCACAGGTCCCCCTCATGCAGAACTCTTTTGATATTCCGGGTCTAGGTGAGCTGCCCAAGAGCCTTCAGGGAATCTGTGACAGACCCAGGACCCAGCTGTCCAGTTCCTTAACCACCAGGCAGTCCTTCTCAGCAGCACAGCGCAGTACAGTAGCTTTCCCATCCTTTCCCCTTGGTAGTATCCCCTTTCCCTAGCCCCTTTGCGCTAACAAGTTCTGCCCTCTCACGCTTACCTTTCCATCAGCTCTTCCCTGCCCAGCTGCTCTATACTCCACCTGTTATTACAGCTTGGATGTGCCATTTGTGCTTTAAAAAAAAAAAAATCACAAGAAGCTACCTCCTCCCCATTAGCTGGAACCTACCTTGCTAGCTTGGTCTCAGGTGTTTCCTTGGAATCCCATATCAAGCCCCATTATTCCATCTTCTCTCTGCTCCTTGCTCCAATAGTTCCATCTAAGCACTCTCAACTAATACAGAACCAGCTCCATGCATAGTTTGGGCATTATACCAATGGGAATGCTGGATTTCAAAATAGCCCCCTGGTTATTATAGAACACCAGAACTGGAAGGGACCTCAAGAGATCATCGAGTCCAGTCCCCTGCCCTCACAGCAGGATCCAGTATCATCTAGACCATCCTTGACAGGTGTCTGTCTAACCTGCTCTTAAATATCTCCAGAGATGGAGATTCCACAACCTCCCTAAACAATTTATTCCAGTGTTAACCACTGTGACAGGAAGTTTTTCCTAATGTCCAACCTAAACCTCCCTTGCTGCAGTTTAAGCCCATTGCCTCTTCTCCTATCCTCAGAGGCCAAGGAAAACAATTTTTCTCCCTCCTCCTTGTGACATCCCTTTAGATACCTGAAAACCACTATCATGTCCCCTCTCAGTCTTCTCCTTTCCAGACTAAGCAAGCCCAATTCTTTCACTTTTCCCTCATAGCTCATGTTCTCTAGGCCTTTAATCATTCTTGTTGCTCTTCTCTGAACTTTCTCCAATTTCTCCACATTTTTCCTGAAATGTGGTGCCCAGAACTGGACACAATACTCCAAGTGAGGCCTAATCACTGCAGAATAGAGTGGAAGAATGACTTCTTGTGTCTTGTATTATAGCAGATAACTACAACATAGACACGCGTGACATTTTAATGCAAGCTCTTTGGGACAGTCACATTATGCAGCAATACACAATAAGGCACTGATGTCACCTGAAGCCTCTTATTAATTTAGGTGAATTAATAAGAAACAAGCACCATTAGATTAGTCTATCGTTGCGGCCAGTGCCTCCACCACAAGAATTTAATACCCTTCCACTGGGGCTAAAAAAAAACTGGGCATGTTTAGTCTTGAGGAGAAGACGACAGAGGGAGGACCCACTAACAGCCTTCCACTATGTTAAGGGCCATTAGAAAAAGAGGACTGTGACCAGTTGTTCTCAATGTCTAGAAGTAATGGGATTATGCCATATCAAGAGAGATTTAGGTTAGATTCAGACCTCCCTGGTCTGGCACCCGTGGGAGCCATGGTCCTGAATGAGGGAGTTTGCCGGACCCTGGGGAGGTCAATTCTG